ATGATAACAATGGATAAGGTTACCTTTAAGACAGAAAAAAAAAAACCCAAACCCTCTTTCTGACTAGCAGGAAGGTGTGTGCCAGGGAAGGGGCCACACAGTTGAAGGAGAGGCAGGAGACCTAGTCTGGAAAAAAGGAAAGAACAGAAAAGGACGCCCAGGAAGGAGGGAGGTGATAAATGCCCCGGGGAATATCAGAGATCTGGTAGACAAGCGTTTCTTGGTTTTAAAAAGGACAGGCTAGCCTTTAGTGACCCCTAGTTCCCAATCCCTTCCAATATTTGGCAGGGAGAGGAGCACAGAGACCGAGGCTTGGAGGACGCCTGGCCAACACAAAACCCCAGGAAGGGCGCCATTTGTTGGGCACACCTCAGCGGCACTTAACACCAGGGAGGTTGGCACATCTTTGGGTTGGGGTCCCAAGTCCGAGCCTTTGGTACCGAGTCCTGATTAAAAGCAATGCTGGGAAAGGTGGAAGGCAGCAGGAGAAGAGGACGACCCAAATGTGTGATGGAAACCTAAAGGAAGCCATGGGCTTGTATTTGCAAGAGCTGAGAGGCCATTTTGGAGACGGCTCATTCTTAGGGCCATCATGAGTCGCAAGCAACGTGACGGCACCTAACAACAACAGTAACACACACAAAGTGGAGCAAAGGATGCCTCATTTATTGCCACCCCTGTTGTCGCTGTGGCTCTTTTCTTTTCTCTCGCCCCACCCCGAGAGTTCTTGCTGTACATCATGATGGATCTTTTGTCTAAAAAAGAGGCGCAAACGATGAGAGCCCATGAATGCTGAGCATCTCTTTGGCATGTGGAGACCGTTTCATTGCGGGGGGAGGGAGACGCTGTCCTTACGGGGTAGTGCGGGCCTTAAGAGAAAATGGTTACACGTTATTCATCCGCTGGTATTTTAACTCCTGATAGGCTGTCCAGAACTCATCACAATAAGAATGGACTATGTTGTGAGTGTTATAATGGAGGAGACGTCCTCCATCCGCACGGCTGACATGTTTTTGATTACAAAATGTTTGAGAGAAGTGAGAGAAGATGAGGCACTTCGAGGGAGCTCAGATTTTTGAAATGGCCTTATCTAAAGGGAAGCATTTCAACAAGAAAAGTTTTTGTATTATTATTATTATGCTTTATTATCTCCTTAAAGCCTTTTTATCCCGCTCTTCAGCTGAAAGGCTTACAAAAGATTAAAAGAATGACACGCTCTCTGTCCTCAGGCTTGTGATCTCAAAATCGTGACATGAAAGGAGAAGGAATTCAAAGGGGGGGGATTAAAAATTTGGGCACTAACGCTTCGTCGCAAAATTTCTTTCTCTTTTTTTAAAAGTTCCATTTTGGCAAAAAGAAGAGAACACAATTGCTTAGTTGCGTGTGTTTTTCCCCCATAGCCAATGATGGAATGGGATTCTGCTGGGCTCCACGTTGCCATTATGGATGGGATCGGGTAAAGCAGGACCCCTTGCCATTTGGAATAAAAGGTGCCCAGTTCTCATCAATCTCAGTTAAACCAGGTTGATTTCGGGCATGGAGCCGTCCCACTCGAAATGGCTTTAAGGATTCCAGGGGATGACATTTTGATCTACCCATGGGCTTGTACTGATTATGCCTGCATTCTTTCCTTGTCTGTAATTGCTTTGTCCAGAGGTGGTGGTTTTTTTAAAAAAATTTGTTCTAAGTGGCATAGCGCTGCATTAATGTTGCAGACAGAAAGGATCCAGCGTTTATGTGATGCAGCACTAAAGTCGAATGGTTGACTTTTAAAAATCCCTTAATTTAAAAAGGAAACAGTTCAGACACCAGGCGTAATTGCTGGTTCCTTGATCCCGCACCACCTCAAAAATCTGATCCTGCACCACCACACATCATAAAGGCATCAGCACAGGAAATGCCCCCGCACACAGGATACAACAACATGGCCACTCACACTACCAAAAGAAAACCCAGGTAAGAAAAGCTGTGTGATGTAGTGTGATTTAAAATAAACAACCCCCCAATGTGTGTTCAAAAGGAAACAATTCTTTGAAGAAAAGTACGAGTTCC